ACGTTGGGAAAAGGGAATGTCCAGTGTCCACTTAGAAACACCGCCGCCGATGCCTGTATAAACCCGTATGACAAATCCTGGCGCCACTGGTGACTTCTCCTGGTAGAGGTTATCCCCACTAGTTTGTTGATCTGATCTCAAAATATATTAACAAAAATATAATAAAAATGGAGCCTAAAACAAGGCTTTACGTCAATACTCATGTGTCCGGGTCCATTACGTCGATACTCACATGTCCGAATTCTATTATGTCTATACTCACGCCAGGCACGGGTGGTTCTGTCATTACGTCCATTACGTCATGTCACATGTCCGGATCCCATTCTATAATCACGTCACAGATTCGGATCTCACCACGTCCATACTCACGTCACAGGTCCAGAGTCCCATTACGTCCATACTCACGTCACAGTTCTAGGGTCCCACCATGTCCATACTCACGTCACACGTCCTGGGTCCCATCACGTCCATACTCACGTCACAGGTCCAGGGTCCCATCACGTCCATACTCACGTCACAGGTCCAGGGTCCCATCACGTCCATACTCACGTCACAGGTCCAGGGTCCCATCACGTCTCTACTCACGTCACAGGTCAGGGTCTCATCTCGTCTGTAATCACCTCACAGTTCCTTGTCCCCTTACGTCTACTCACGTCACAGGTCCAGGGTCACATCACGTCCTACTCACTTCACAGGTCCAGGGTCCCAGGGTCCCATCACGTCCATACTCACGTCACAGGTCCAGGGTCCCATCACGTACATACTCACGTCATACGTCCAGGGCCCATCACGTCCATACTCACGTCACAGTTCCAGGGTCCCATCACGTCTATACTCACGTCACAGGTCCGGGTGTCATTTCGTCTGTAATCACCTCACAGTTCCTTGTCCCTTTACGTCTACTCACGTCACAGGTCCAGGGTCACATCACGTCCATACTAACGTCACAGGTTTAGGTCCCATAACGCCTATACTCACTGCATAGACGTGACAGTCTCTGGTCCCATCACGTCTATAATCATATCACTGGTCCGGTTCTCATTACATCCATGCTCACGTGACAGGTTGGGAGTGGGGTCCATTACGTCGATACTCACGTGTACGTTTTAGTCTCTTAAAAGAACATGGATTACAGACGTAGTGTTCTTTTGCTCGTTATTGAATTAACTGAAAATGTTAAGGATGTCTTCATAATATTATTGATAATAAAGAGATAATTGAAATAAAGTTATCAATAAATAATTATTCATTATCTTTAAATGTCTTTCAGTTGCTATAAGTCATGTGGTCTGTTTAATTGACAAGAGTCTGTTGCTATTGTGATGTTACAATTTTTTTAATTTAATTTAGTTTCCTTAGCTATTAATCAGATACCGGGATGCCTATGGAAGGTAAATATATCGGCCTACATATTCAAGTTTAAACGTAGATAGGCCTACTCAGTGATAATACCTGGAAGAAAGGCCTATAAGGCGGCAGTATTATTTATTGTATATTTCATTTAATAATCATGATTTAATGATGTGAATAAAATCTTTTCTTTTATTAAATGAAATTAATAATTGACTATTGCAATACGCTTTAAACTCTTTCAAACGTGTAGGCTCTATATAATATTAATGATTTTAACAACGCCGAGAAAATTTACAAGATGTAGACCTATAGGCCTAGTTTTTATTTTACAAGAATTTTTTTTTTATTTTGTTTTTTTATCTCTAATTATTATATGGATAGTTTAGGCACAAATAATATCACAAGATTCTGTCCAAGTTTTATCTGCATGAATTATTTATTTAAAAGGGTCACTTTGTAAGTTTATTACATATTTTGCATTACTGTCCAACTGTCGACGTCTAATACTAAATTGCTTACAGTTTAATAGGCCGCCTACAATACAATAATTCCTAAACATCTAATAATTTCAAACTAAGGCCTAGGTTTATGTGCATTTTATCGTACTGCTTGATGTAGTTTTAAAAAAAAATAATTACAGTACTTATAAATTTACGATAAAAATAATATGTTGGTATTAAAAACAATAATAATATAAGACAACAAATAAATAATATCTGATTATTTACCAAAGAGAAATTACGAAGGATTTATCTGACATAAAAATTATATAATGAAATTAAATGTTTATAATGTTGAAATAAAAACAAAGACAGGAAGTGAGCGGACAAATCATAACTTGCAAGATAGATCTACTAACAGTAATAGTATTCATACAGACAGGCCTATAGGCCTAGGCTAGCTCATACGCACTTTTAACAGTTTACATATCTGAATTATAAGGCCTAGGCCTAGGCCTACTTGAATAATATTAATATATAACATTTATTTAGTTTACATGCTATATCAGACAAACCAGATCGATTAAAAACAAAATAATAAAGATAGTTCTAGGCCTAGGCCTAAGCTATTAGGCCTACATTTTACTGACCATTTTTCCCACGGCTGTTGCTAGGGCCTGGGCCCTACTACTACTACTAGAGAGGAGGAGAAGGTAGCCCAAACTAGGCTAGGGAACTAGTCCCTGGAAACAAATCTTGTTAACATGACCTTGCGTCCTACTCGTTTATATGCTTTTAAAAACAAACTTGAAGTTAACATTTACCTTTGCTTGTGCTTTGGTCTCCTTTCCGTATGATGTTTGTGGTATATTCTTTCTTTTATGCGAAACATTTTCATAACAGTGTGAAGGCAGGTATGCCTATGTTCACGTTTGTTTTTTGTGTACAAAATACGATGAGAAAGAATACAGTTTTCTGATTGGACAATAGTTTTGTCTGTTTTCAATGTGTAGAAAAGTTTATTGTATTTCAAAAAGTCTTAATTTCAATCATTCATTCATTCTTTCATTTCTGAATCAATACTCTGTCCATTAATGCCTACATAAACTGAAGAAGTTGAAATAAATCAATATAAAAATATGCAATAATATAAGACACTGTATATTTTAAAATACGATTGCATCTACTGTATACTAAGATATTATATATATATAATAAATATATATATAATAAATAAATATATAATATATATATATATGTAATATATATATATTATTATTGTGGTTGTTGTGATGAAAAGTTAACACAAACGATATGGCGGCTAAACGAATATTACATGTAAATATTTTTTTTTATTTGTTTGTTCCCCGACAAAATTTATCGTCTTCCCCGACGTGGGGGGGGGGGGCTATGCTTTCCCGATAGCCCCCCCCCCCCCT